GCTCTCAAATAAGTAGCATTTTTTGTCCCAGCAACAGAATAGGACCTTTGGTCAAGTAGCTGAACTTGTCCTTTGCCTCCTGAAATCCAATTTGTTTGATGTAACAGCAGCAGCAGCAGCAAAGTTTCTCTGTCAAACAAATAATTCTAACATGAGTGTGGTTGTTTTCTTTTTTGACTTCAATTTTTAGTAGTTCTCTTGAAATGGAACTCTAGCATACCTGAAGAAAAGAAAAGCGGGGAGAGGAAAGGCAATAACAGAGCCTAGTGTGATATAGTCAGTTTTAGAAAACAAAGTGCTATGCGTCGAAGGAAGTGAATAACAGCAAGTTATTCTGTTGCAGCTCATGGACAGCCAGTGCTTTTGACTTCTAGAAATTTTATCTCTATGTCCTTGACCATCTGCATTCTTTCTACCATTCTCCTTTTATCTGCCCCAGCTTTCTCATGCCGCCTTCTTCTCGGAAACTAACCAGTTGTACTTTGTATTGCCTTTCTTCACCAGAGTAACCTTATAGGTTCTGACTATGACACCGTATCTTTCTTCCTGGTAAATTTTTTAAAAGCTCAGTTGTTTGACCACATCTGCACTGCTTTTTCAGCACAGTCTTCGGCTATAGTTACAAATCCCAATTTCAATGATTTATTTTCCTTTCTTGTCATTCTCTTGCTCCTACAAGCTGCATAGTATTGTATGCTTCTGTGGTGGGTACAGAAGTCAGGGGCAGGTGTGTAAGGGTGGGGGTGTCCAGAAGTTATTTTTCATACTTGGGATGCATCTAGATGGCTGGGGGGGAGGGTTACACCTACTTTCATTCACCTGAGTTGCCACTCTTCTACCCATTCAACCCTCTCCAGTCCAAGAAGAAATGTTAGCAATTATCTCACCCCTCCTCCTTTGCTTTCAACAACTTGTAAAAAATAAAAGGAAAAGAACTTGCGTTGTTATTCATATGCCACTGTTCCCTATAATAACTCATCCATTATTTTGCCCCAGGACTGGAGGGAGCACAACCCTGTTGCTCTTCTTAGATCTTTCATTAGCGTTTGATACTATCAACCATGGCATCCTCTTCTGCAGTCTACAGGATGTGGCCACCAGGGACACTGTTCTCCATTGGTCCCAATCTTATCTCTGGGGGAAGTTCTATAAGGTAGCATTGGATGAGTGTTTCTTGACCCCCTAGCTCTTGAGCTGTGGGGTGCCACCAGTGTTTGAAATTTGCCAAGCACAACTTGTACTTGGCTATCGGCCACTTGCTACCAAGAGAAGATGCCTGGGCTCCAGGATGGCACCTGACATCTCCACCATCTGGAGGTTACATGCCTGGGGATCCTTGGATCTTGCCTGTTTTCAGTATCAGTGGTATTTTATCTGCATAATCAGAACACATTTCAGGAACGAAAAGGTTGTATTGAAAAATAAGACTTTAGAGCTGTCTGGCCCCAAAATGGCAACTAGTCATTGCTTTTTGGTGACCATAATCCTAGTTTAAGGAGCCATTTGGAGTATGTCACCGAGCATGTGGTGTAAACACTGAGCCTCTTGGGCTTGCAGATCGGAAGGCTGGCAGTTCAAATCCGTGTGATGGGGTGAGCTCCCGTTGCTCTGTCCCAGCTTCTGCCAACCTAGCAGTTTGAAAGCATACCAGTGCAAGTAGATAAATAGGTATAGCTGTGGCAGGAAGGTAAACTGTGTTTCCGTGTGCTCTGGCTTCTGTAAACCGCTTCTGTGTCCTGTTGCCCCAGAAGCGGTTTATTCATGCTGGCCACATGACCTGGAAAGCTGTCTGCAGACAAATGCCGGCTCCCTCGGCCTGAAGCGAGATGAGCGCCGCAACCTTTGACTGGACTTAACTGTCCAGGGGTCCTTTACCTTACCTTTGTATTTACTGTCTTCAGCATATGTTTGTTCTTCAGATACCAAATACTTGGCTTTTTCTATTTAGTACATACATTTTAATTTTATCTGATTACAAAATAGTTTTATCTGACGCTTAAATTAGAAACAGTCATGGTTGTTGATGTATTGTAGCTGTCTGTGACAATAAGTCCCTTAACTTGTTTAGACTTCCCCCAGCTTCCCTCCTCTAGTCTTCTTCTAGTCATTCTGTTGACTATGCTTTTATGCTCCCTGTGGCCATAAAGTTGTCTATGAATTGCCCCCGTTGTGGTTTTCCTAATGCTCTAGCTTCCTACATGCATGGAGCAGCATGACCAGTTAATGTAATGTTGTTGCTCCACTCTAGACTGGTAATGAATATACTATAAGTCAGATCCCTCCTGTAATTAGCCTTCACATTTCAATGTGTGAACTTTTGCTTAGGTAATATTTAGTTTTTACATTACCTATGTCTCAAGAGCTGTGTCAACTGAAACAAAAGTAAAATTAACACTAGTTACAGTCCATCCATTATTAAAACATCTCTTATTGCACTTTACAAAGTATAATTGATTGGACAGAACAAATATTGAACAGCAGAACAGCACTTAAAACTACTGGAAGAATGCTTTTAATGCTCATTCTATAGCTATGAAAGGGGGGGGACTGTAGTTATGCAGCACACATAAAGGCGAAATTGCTCGCCACTGTAATTATACTTGTTCCTTAATTCTGAAATTGCTTTTCTGTGTAGAAAAATACAGTGCAACGATAAAAGTTTTAATTAAGTTTTGACAGCTATTGAACATTTCCAGGAAGGCTTCTGTTTAAACAGAAAAATCTTAGGGTTCCCTCACCTGCAAACTGTGGTGGTTGTTTGGCTCTGTCCTTCATATATACAAGGCGAAATTGTCTGGTTAGGGGGTCCTCGTTTGTTTCTGATGAGTCTTTATTCTCCTTGCCACTTCCGGACACTAGAGCTGGATCACTTCAGCAGGACATTTGCAGACTGGTGAACAAACATGTTCATATAGGCCCAGGAATCTCATGTCTTGGACCTTGGCACATTTTTATGTCAACACATGTGGCTGGGGGGGGGGCAGGAGGAGGAGTATTGCTGAATTACCCCTCCCCTCACCAAAGAAAAATAGATGAAGAGATTTGGTGGAGAAAACAAGGAGCGTTTCAAGACTTGACTGTCAGATTATTCAGTGCTACCCTCCCACCCAAATGAATACAAAAGAAAATGTAGGGTGACTGGAAAACAAAAGTGAATTAATTCTCTTACGAGCCATTCACACTGAAATGTATTCGTATGCTAGACAATGTGGGCTTGCAGGTTCACTGATATCTTTAATTGAATGATTATCCATTTTTCTTATGGGAAACTCAATAATGCTTTGCCCAAGAGGATGCAGAAGCAGGGTAATGTTTATGGACTTAGTTCCAGTTTTCTTGTGCTGTTCTGTGCAAGGTCTGGTGCTGTTTGCATTCAGAAGGGAACCTTTGGACCCAGCACCCATGTGATGATCTGCGAAACACAGTTCTTCACTTTTGTGTGGAACTTCATCACCAGTTTTCTCCTCCAAACTTGGGGCGGTGGGAAGGAAATACAAAACATGAACTTGTGCTTTCTGTAGCAAATTGTTAAAACAAAACAACCCCAAAATTTTATCAACACTGCTTGGAAATGAGATAACAAGTTTTACATATCCTTGTGAGAGTACACTCTTAATTTAGACATTAATCTGGTTGATCTTGAAACTTTTGCCTCTAAATCGTTCGCATTGTTGTTGAGGTTGGTTTTCATTCAGAATTAAAAAGATAGAGCAGGGCAAAGATTTATGGAATCCTCTGTGCACAGTATAATAGGATAATAAAGTTGACACAAGTCAGAATAAAATATGGGTTCCTCTAGTTTTGCTTGTAAAGCAGCGCATTCCTATTTTAGTTGTTAACAGGTGTTATTTTTTTCAGCCAGGTTTTATGCTCCCAAAAGCACAAGTGGATCTTTTAAGAACAAGCTTACAATTTGTATCCAAATGTTGATGGGTCAAGCTGATGCCAAAATGCTTTATGCAGCAGTAATTTGTGCCATTTTTAATGCTGGTAGTCTTCGCTGCATAACATTGAGGAACCTTTTCTTAAGCACATGAATATGAACACTGGTGACCAATGATTAGATGCAGGTGAATAGCCTGCCCTGTGAATGGCCAATGTATGTTCAAAGGTGAGCATTTAAGATCAAAAGTGGTGCTCATATTATAATGAGCCAGCAGTTTGTAGGGCACTCAAGAAATCTGTTCGGCTAATTTCCTTAGAATTAACCTGGGTATGACTCCAGAATGTAAAGTATTGTTTCGTAACTGTCCAGGGGTCCGTTACCTTTACCTTATGATTTGTAACAGTTTCGCTTCTGTAAACCATTTATTTTGGAAAGGATTTTTTTTGTCTCTTCTTTATGTGTTTGGGCACCTCTTAAGATACCGTAAAAAAAATAATTGTATGATGATTCCTGAGATCAAGGGGCAGGTTTTTGTCTGTTTGGATACAGTTGGCTGCCATTATGAATCAAGATGGCAGACTGAACCTTTCAAAATGCCAGTGATTTTAACCACTGGTTTTTTAAACTGCACTGATGCTTTTGTTTATTAGAATTCCAAGGCAATGGCAGGTTCGAGGCTACTGGTTTTTCAGCAAGTAATACAAGCTGGTTGTTGTTGTTTTAAATGTATTTCCCTTTCATGTTTGCTGTGAGGGAATAGCAGTGAGCACTCATGTTAATGTGATGGAGCTGTGTCACACTTTGTGTGGCAAAGGCTAAAGCAACTGCTGTCTGGTCCTGTTGGCAATCCTAGCTGCACCATGCTTTATCTCCTTTAAGCAAGTTTATGTTTATAGAAAACCAAGCAGAAAATAAGGAAGGCAGGCATTCAAGGTCAAAAGAACTGCCTGGATTTTATGAACTGTGTGGAGTTTATAAATCAGCCTTGGCAGCAGTATAGTTTAGTCTGAACTTCAATCCTTGCCTTTGAGCAAGTAAAGGGGGGAAAAGTAGAACTCTCTTTAAATAATAGGGTTTCCTACTGTTAGAAACTGGCATTATTGTCTTTTTACAGTCTCCGGTACATGGATGCTGACATGGACTACGAAAGACCTAACGTTGAAACCATCAAGTGTGTGGTTGTTGGTGACAATGCAGTGGGGAAGACTCGCTTAATTTGTGCAAGAGCATGTAACACCACCCTGACGCAGTATCAGCTGCTAGCAACTCACGTTCCTACAGTCTGGGCAATTGATCAGTATCGAGTCTGCCAAGAGGTATGTACTGTCCACTTTATCAAGTTGTGCAATAATGTACAAGGAAGTTTGCCTTGGCATCAACCAGTTATTGGTTTTAAGTGTGACAGAAGAAATTTCAGCAGGTGCAGCAGGTCCTGTAATAGACCTTTGAGAATGAGAAAGGCTATGCTTGTTGGATTTCATTTTCAGTGCAACTTTAATAAAAAAAGTTCAGGAACTTTGCTGCATCTGGTGGCTCTAGCTAGACAGTGTTCTTAATAAAACCTGTGCCAAAGTTGAAAGCTGCTCACCTTTCAGCTCACCATGTGCATTTACAAGTAACCCCGAAATCAGGTTTCAGTGCTGCAGAGCTTCACAGTGACTTGTTTCTCATATCACAAACTGTAGTTTGATGTGGACTGGTGCATGTTGCTTAAAATATCATGCATTGTTCCCCCTCTGCTCCTTTCTTCAGTGTGCCAGGTAGGAAACAGAACTAGAATCTGGCTTGCCATTCCATGCAGATCAGTACTTGTGGTTTGTTTCTTTCATTACAAATAATCACAGTTTGTTAGGAGAAGAAAGAGAGAGAGAGAGAGAGAGAGAGAGAGAGAGAGAGAGAGAGAGATGAACCACGCCGGTGTGTAAGAATCCAAATTAATTGCAGTTAAGTCCCAGTGATATATCTATTTAAAAGTTTTCTAAACTGCCCTTCACCTAAAGGTTCCAGGGCAGGTCACAACAATCATTACCTTATATTGTTGTATCCTTATATTGTTGTATCCTGTCCTGGGACCTTATGACAGGTAAAAAAAATTAATTAATTAATTAAGAGAGAACATAAATGGCTATATTTAGACATTATGCCAAACAATGTATTGTATGAACTATAGTTTATAATCCAGGCCATGTTTTGAATTTTATGAATGTGCAACACTGTGGTTTAGCACTGTCTGTCTTTCCTTCCTCTCAGTACTCACCTTCATAAATTCACTCTGGGCCTTCAAAACCTAACTTCTGGTTCTGGTTCAGCAATCAGAAATCATGCCAGAACATAATCAAGCCTCTGTAACCATGGTTTGGCACAATTTCTCAAGTAAGCCTTTGACCATGTCCCAGAGCACACTGATATATTAGGACTTTCTTCAGGGAATTGTATCTGCAGCAAGCTTTTAACTGATGGAAATGTACCTATTTCAGGTTCTTGAACGTTCCCGGGATGTTGTTGATGAAGTGAGTGTTTCTCTCAGGCTCTGGGACACATTTGGCGATCATCACAAAGATAGGCGCTTTGCTTATGGAAGGTAAGTGGGAGTTAGCCCAAATTTTTATTTGCAAGTCAAGTAAAACCTAGTGGGAAAAGAACTGCAGCTTTGAAGTGTGAAATGTGAGGTATTAAATTTATCAAGAGTGTTCACATTCCTCTTTCTTTCGAAGAACAGCATCTATCACAAGGGTTATGAATATATACATCTTTGAAGGGAATATAGCTTATCTATGTAGTGCCATAAAGGTTTTGAGCAAAAGTCTTGAAACATTTTGCATTTCAAAGACCATTTGCAAAAATGTAAAAAAACAAACCCTGAAGTGTTGTCAATTGCTTGACTGGCCATGATGAAAGGTAATCAATTCACTTATTGCTAAAATAGCTGCCAGGTGTGTTAAAGAATACAATACAAATGCTTGTGATTCTGCACAGGGAGAAATCTTTCACAACTACTACTGCCCTACAAGCATATGATGTGAAATTTGACTAACACAGATTCTCCTTCATATTTGAGTGTAGCGTGACTCTGTTTTCTCCAGGCTATTCATGGGTGTCCAGTTCTGATAGGCATGTTGGTGTGGATGTAGGAAATGCTTTTTGTCCTCGAGTCCTAAATTTATTGGCCTAAGCACAGTTTGACCAGGGTTAGAGTAATAATTGCTTAAAATGCATGTAGAATTGTAACCTGATTGAAGTCCATTAAAGACTTACTTCCTATTTTGTTGATTTAAATGTAACTAGAGGAAACAGGTTGTGTTACCTGAATATCAAATATCCTTTCATCAGCATTGCACACCATTGGCCGGGATCCAGAAAGCTACTTTAAGCATAACCCTAAAGCTTTGGGTATCAGAAGTAGTTTTGTATGCCTGCCTGTAGCACCCGGGGGGGGGGGAGGGGGTGCTGATGAAGAGCTACAAGCCCAAACCCCATTGGCTATGCAGAACCAGTTGTGTGTTTTTTGCAATTCTGGCATTTGCATCTAAGCTCACCTTTCATTTGCTGATAATAAGTTTGCATTGCCTTTTTTTGTTTAGTACTGGTGGCTTAGTACATTGCAACTTGGGTGATGTCTAAATGGGCAGTAATTTAGTAGTTTAATACAGTCTATAGTGGTGGTGGTATTTTACTCTGTTAGTCCAGTCATATGGGAGGAGACAGATGTAACATTTTTAACAGTTCTTCATCCACAGTAGGAATCTGATTTCACAGTTTCCTTGATACAGGTTTTTAGACTTGCCCTTTCCCTTATGGCTAAGGCAAGGCATCCCCCTTAGATATGAAATATATAGGACATCTCATGCATGTATACTCATATATGTTCATCCTTCAATTTACCTATTCTGTCAGTTTATAAAAACTGTGAAGGATTGAGAGAAGGGAAGATATGTTAGTAACACCATAAGCATTAGCCAATAGACATCTGGCTTTCTCTCAGCAGGCTTACAGAACTAAGAATAAACTGTGTCACAAAAATGCACATGCATTTACAAGGCATGGGCAGTTATTTCAGACTACTTCCATCACACTTAAAATGTAATAGCTTCAGTGTCTCTTGCTCAGCAATTGTATACTGGGTAGGAGAGAAAAAGAACCAGCAATGAAGGCAGCCTCGTATATTATGGCTCTCCCACGCGGAAGCTGCAGAAATGGCCTTTATGAGACAGTCATAATATTTGCAAGCCTCTTAACTGTGCGCACGTCTCTGGTTGTATGGCGAATCCCCATGCACAAAACTGCATGTTTCTGATAGAAGCTGGTATCAAAACCTATCACACCATCAGCTGAAGCATGTGATCAAAAGTTCACAAACATTAGAGCCCCTAAATGGGGGCTGTAATGTATGGGTGACCCTCAGAAGTTATCACAGAAAGCAGGGCTGTAGGACAATGAAAAGCTACAGCAGCAAGTAGCAAAAGCAATGGGAGGGATAAGGAGATGTGTTGCATCAGGCTGGGAGGGAAGCTTATGCAAACATAGAAGAGGTTTGCTGTGCCATTCCTTGATTTGGACGCTTTGGCCATACTTGCTGCTTTATATCATTCTTCTTTGAATTCACTGTCCTGATGCAGAGAGCTTTGTGAGAGGTGACTAGTGCCTTAACTGCTAGTTTTTGAAAGGCAATCAAAGCCCTAATTAAAGCATACAATTTAAATTCTTTCTGTATTTAAGTATTGCACTTGAATGCACTGTTCAAAGATTGCAAAATATATAATGCATTTTTCAAAGTCACAAAATACTAATTTACTTAGGTGCTAGCAAGTTTAAAATTAAGTGGTTCCTGTGTTTACTCTTCGTCTCCCTGCTTGCTGTGTCCTTATGTCAACATACACTCTGTCACTGAGCAGATTAGTATAGATTAAGAGGGCAAAATCAGGCATGTTCCAGTTTTGGGGGAGAGAAGGTGTAGGATGACATATTTTATGCCCACTCCTACAAAGGTTATGCATATTTTATTCAGGAATAGTTATGTGAGGGTCAGAGCAATCCAAACAAGGGACTGGGGATGTAATCTCATGGACTGGAACCAGCTGGGGAACCCAAAAGGGAAGAAGGCAGGGACTGGTGGTGGGACAACAGAGAGGAAGAAGACTGGGAGGAGAAGGTGTTGGAAGCTGAAGATTTAACAGGGCTTAGTGAGCTGAGAGAGTCTGTGGCAGAGACAAGGCCAGGATCAGATGCAGGAGCTGAAGCAAAAGAGTGGGGTGAGAGAGGCCAAGAGGCAGAGATGAGTCAGGCTGGTGAAGTGTGACAGGTGTTTCCGGTTCCTGCTGTGAACAAGCTCTGCTCCCCTCTTGTCTCCAGAACCAGAAAAGGCTAAAAAGAGTGGAGTAGAGATCAGTGATGCAGAAGTGCAGTCTACTGGGGGAAAAAACCCTGGAGAGGAGGGGACTTAACCATCTGTGGGGAGATGGGGACCTTCAGTCTCTGCAACTGCTTCATGAGGGCAAAACCTACCAGAGATGAGTTGCTGTGCTCATTAGGCCTGACACCACTGTGTTGATCGTGTTTTTGCTAATAGTTAACTCCAGCTTGCACAGTGTGATTTACTGCTGGCTAACCCATGGCAGCTGCATCCAAAACACTGCTGAATCCAAAAATCCGATGGCCTGGCCAGAAGGTGGGCAAGCAGGGAGTTTTCGTGTTTTTTCTGTACCAGCTCCTGGCTGCCACAACAGAGGGGGTTAGAACAGTTTTGGATCTGTTAGATTCATGGCTGACTCAGCTACCTACCTCCCAACTATTTTGGGGTGCAAAGTCTGTGGCTGCTCACAGCTGTACTTGTCACTGTCCATGATTTGGGTGCAGAAATGCCCACCTAATCTTCCCACCACCATCCCTAGCAGCACTGACTGAGGCTTAGAATTGTGCTGTAAAAGTTATTTCCTTATGGAAAATGTTAGTAAAATTAACTTATCTCGAAAAGCAATAATGAACTTTTCTAAATCTTAATCAGGGGTTTTTCATAGCTGCCAAGCTGTGACATTCAAAATCAAACATGCCTGCATCTTTTCCCCAGTGGGGATAAAAGTAGTTGGGTAGAAATTTTCAGCAATAAAACATCACAAGGATAAAGGGTTAAGAAGCTCCCCCCCCCACCCTTTCTTGTTTTGCTGGTCTTCTGCTTCATCATGTAGCCTCAGTGTATGTAAGAGGAAAAATGGTCTGGAAAAAGAATTGCATAACAGCACATAATGTGTGCTTTCATCCTTGAGATCACTTAATGTGGAATGGCTAGTTCAAAGCACTCCCTAACAATGATGTTAAACTACCAGAGAAATAGTAAAATGGTGGATTTTCCCACACTTTATAATGGTGTTTATGGGTGAAATGGGTTTTTTGGTCTGCATCTGTGGTTATGAGTTTGCAACGTTGACTCTTCCCACCCCCCACTGGCTGCTGAGTTAAATAGCATGGAGGACAAGTTTTTGAGCTTGTGGTACTTCCTCTTCCATTTGTGCAAAACACACACCTCTCTCTGATACACTTATATGCACATACATACATATTCTTCTCTCCCTTCAACCTATTACTTCATGTTTTCTCCTCTTCTGTTTTAATTTTGTGCCATGCAGAACTGATCTGGTGTCTTGGTGCTATTTGAGGGTTATATTTTCCATTCGGTTTCTGATCAAACCATGTTTTAGCATGCTCTTCATCATGAATTCACGTTCAATTTATTTCCATTCTGCTTGACTGGGGCTTTGTTACAGTAGATATACATGAGGTATAGGAAAGGTTCCTGGCCTCACTAATTGTCAGACATAATATAAGAAGGTTATAAAAATTGTTCAAATGATAGATCATAAGACAAATAGAAAAAGTCATGCTCATCTTTTTCGGACTGCCTCTCTCCATAAGAACCTACCCAGATCCTGAGATCATACTGACTATGAGCCGTTCTTCTTGTGCCTCCTCCATGAGAGGTCAGGAAGGTGGCAACATGAGAACGGGCCTTTTCTGCAGTGACACCCTTCATTCTATCTACACCTTTAGGTGCCAGGCAAAAACATTCCTCTCCAACCAGGCCTTTGGCTAATTAATATCCAATACACCCTTAAATGCATTGTGGGAGAAGGGGGTGGGGGTTATTAAGTATTATGTGTTTTTTATCTTACATTTTTGTGTAGTGAACCACCCTGAGATCTACAGATGAAGGGCAGTGTACAAATTTAATTAATTAAAAATAAAAATAAAAGATGCTAATCTGCTACTGCAACCTCCAAGTTCGATATCACATGACATTTAGCAGAGGCATGCTGGTAAAACGTGGTATATTATGTTCATTTATTCATCACAACAAAATAGAGAGGAATAAATTAGTGAATTTCAGTGTATATTAATTTATATATCATCATAATACTTAATAATATGGGGAGGGGAAGGACAAGTGTAGGCTGTCACTTGAGTATGAAAGTAGAGGGATATTCTTGTATCTTGATCTGTAAGGGTTGAGGCATGTGTTTTGTGTGTAACTTGCCTTCTAAATAATATGCATTATTTGTGTGAACAGGCTGGACATAAGGCTTTGACCTC